ATAAAAATAAAAATAAAAATAATAAAAAAAATAAAATAAAATACAAATAAAATAATAACAAACATTACAGATTGAGCATATGCCAGTTTAGGCCATAGAATGAAAGGAAGAAAAACTTTAAAAAGAAAAATCTTTTAAAAACTGGCCCAACTAGCAGGCTATATACTATTTGTAGTATTTATAAAAAAAAAATCCTCTGTCTAGAAAAACTTTAAAAAGAAAAATCTTTTAAAAATTGACCCAGCTAGCAGGCTATATACTATTTGTAGTATTTCCAGAAAAAAATCTCCACTGTCTAGAAAAATTAAGATTGCTTTATATGCAACTTTGCGACTCCACTACACCAAGACACTTTCTTAGTTCTGCTGCTTTCTTTTCCAGCTGCTGAATGTTCCAGTGCCATTGTCTTTTATTTGAATGGAGTTTGTTCAGTTGGCAATGCAAACGTTTTAGAATAGCATCATACCTCTTATTCTGCACCTAAAAAAATAGAATAAAATTCACTTCAAAATTTCTTTCAGGTACAAGTATTTTACTTGGGTGGGTTCAGCCCACCCAACTTAAGTGTAGATTCTGACATTTGAGCAAGTTATTCCATGTTCACTTTATAGCTAGTGAAGAGACACAGACACCTAGGAAGCCATTCATCTGACTTACTTCAGTTATCTGCTGTAGGACAGTACGAATCGTATCTCTCTTTCCCACTACGGGAAAGAGAAGCTAAAAGCCCTACTAAAAGCTGAAGTGAGGAGTTCGCTGTGGGTATTTGCTCTGTAGAAGTCTAAAATTTAACAAAGTAAATCTCATCCAAAGAGTCAGCATCTCACAGCTGTGGCAACATTTGTACACAGGTTTCAGGCTCCAGAGAGTGAGAAAGGAAGAAATCATCATTCTTTGACAAACGTGTTTGATTATAAATTAGAATACAAATTAAGTAACCTAGATGGCTGTAGTAGCACCTTCATTGTTGCACTGCACTTAAAAAAACCCACTTTTTTTTTTTCAGAAAAGCAATAACATGTCAAGGCAGTGCTGTATCTATTTTGCCCTCATTGCTGCCTTGCGTGAAGAACGGCTGCCACAGACAACAATCTGAAGATTTGCGTTCTGAAGTGTAAAAGCACAAAACATTCATTATAATAAAAATGGAAATAATGGGTATTCACTTAATGAAAATTTGGGCATACTTACCCTTGTTTGAATGGCATATGAGTGGTAGTGTATAATTATTCTTTTGTCTGCTTATTGAAACATTATTGTGCTGTATTTAATGTACACATGATGCGGTGCAGCTGCATCAGAACTACAGCATTGCCAGTGACTTGCTGCCTAAATTTCACATGTAACTAACTCCCTCCCTCCCTAATGTTTTATAAACTACACTGCCTTCTTTTACTGCTGATGGGTTGTCTTTCTTCAGGTTGCCTGGCTCTCGACTAATTCTTCACCATGCTTCGAGGGACGCTGTCAGACTCACTCCTCTGAATGAGCACTTGCACGGTCTGAACATCACTGGGACTGTGTTGTATGACATCGAAACATCTGTTACCAATACCTGCTTTTTTTTTTAGAAATAACTGGCACACCTGCCAAGGCAGGGAGCACTAATATGCTTACTGGGCAGAGGGAAGGGAGACTGTTAGTCTTTTCACTGGGGCCTTGTGTACCTGTAAGTTAACCACTAGAAAACATTGTCTGGACACTCATGGAAACTCCACCACTGGGGTCCTTCAAAGACAGGATAGACAAGTATCCGCCAAGAATACCATACCCACACAGTGATATGGGGTAAAGAGGGGAATAGACTATCTTTTGAGATTTCTTATTGTTTTTACACAACAACCTATTATTTGTGGATGTCTTGAATTAGTCTTTATGACTGAAGCCTTGTCCCCACACAGGTAACCACCTCGATTTATTGTTGTCATCGCTGTCCAAGGCTGGGAACAGGCTCATCTCTTCAAGAGATGAGTGGTGGGACCGGTGCTCAGGAAAGGGAGTGGGACAAGGTCTACAAGCTACCTCAAAAGTACGTCAGTACACTTCCTGATGGGAAGCATCCAAGTTATGAATTAATTTTAAGGTTTATTAATTAGCAATGTCGGATCACCAACTTTCCTTGAAAAAAAGGAAGCTTAGGCACCAATTTCCTTGCAGAAATACGTTCCGTCAACAATTTTTAACTTTCTAGAATTCAGTGGCTTTAGAAAGGCATTCCAAATTACATTCCTGCATGACGTGCTTAGTTGGGGAAATCTTTGTGGGAAACCAGAAATAATCCTGAGGTAAAGTAGGAGCACCAGGGATGTGAGAGTGAGTCCATTCTGTTTGAGTTCCAGCTTAGCCATTAACGAGGCTTCAGCAGAAATTCTGTAGGCATTTAAATATAGGGTTGTATGAGGGCAGGCTTAGAGGCTTAAAATCATTGCTGAATCAAGGCTCCAGAAGCTCTGCAGCAACAGCAAACTCAATCAGATGCGACGACTCGCTCATGTCTGGAGGCTCAGAAAACTGAAAGCTCCCGAAGGCTTTGCAAACTTACACATCGTAGAATCAGAGAATGGTTTGGGTTGGAAGAGACCTTCAAAGATCATCTGGTTCCAACCCCCCTGCCATAAGCAGGGACACCTTCCACTAGATCAGGTTTCTCAAAGCACAACCCACCCTGACCTTGAACACTTCCAATGATGACAATTTATATGAGTAAGCTGTTGAACTGTCTCATCATCCTCATTGCAAAAAATAAAAAATAAAATCTTCCTCAAGTCCATGAGTTTAAAAATCCTCTGCTGTTCCCTATCACATGAAAAATGATTTTCTCCTCCTACATTTTATAATAGGCAATAGAGCTCATCTTAGATCAGTTACTCTTTATATTATCAAGCTTTGCTCATTAAGTTTTGTGACATTTATTTGAACTAACCAGATAAATGATGTGAAACTTCCAAACTAAGCCCTATCTAGACATACAAAGTATTCTAGCAAGGAACAAAATGTAAAATACTGCTCAATTATTTAAAAAGGGAAGGTTTTCACTATTAATCAGAATTTTATCTTGGCAGCTAATTAGGAGCTGCTGTGTTATCCCTAATTTAACGTCAGCTCAAATTAGGAAGAATCATGGAAAGTCCATTTTCTTGTGCAATTGATTTTCCCATTGATGAGTTATCAAGAACCATGAGACAAGTCATGAATAATCAAGCCAGCAGTGAAATTTAAACTATTTCAGAAGTATTACAGAAATAAAAAATGTGCACTTTGCTTTACTACCATTCAGTGACCTCTTTCTTTTCAGGACATTATTCCAAAAGTTCACAGATGAGCTCCTTCTTAAAAGACTTATGAAAAAATATTCTTCAATTTTTCCCATAATAGTAATTAAGTTCTGAATTTTAGAAAGACCAGGAGTAACAAGAATTTAAGATAGCATGGTTACTGTATATACTTGAATAATGTATCACCAGCAACCATGTATAAAGTACTTCAAACTCCATTTGCACTACCTGCATTGTCAGAAGAACTGTAACCATATTTTATTCAAATGACTCACCTCAATTTCTTTTCTAAGTTTAGCATGTATTTTTTTCTCTTCTTCCAGTAAATCTGTTTTGTTACTGATGAGCTCTTTCAGTGTTGTGATTTTCCTTTTTAAAACTGTAATTTCTTCCTGCAGAGGTAAGTTGAGGTACAGAAATCCCCTCCTTAAAAAGCTGCACAGTACACCTATTGAACGTACTAAAAATGTCACATATAAACAGTTTCACTTCATTAAAAGAGATAAGGATCAATTTCTCTAAGATTTGTGATTATTAACTAAAATAATTTTAACATGCCTTTACATACTTAAGAAGACACACTCTTGACCTGAAATACATAAAAAACAATACAGGAATTTGAGCTCATTTTGGTGGTCTGAGTTTTATTTAAAATAATTTACTGAAAAATCAAAGGATATTTAATGCAATATTTGGGATATACTTTTTTTCTCATAGGGATATAAAACGTTAATGAGTCTTTATTTACCAATTATCAAAGATTTGCTTGGACAACCAAATTTCGTCCATTCACATCAGTAGAGTAACATCAGATTTTCAATAACACAAGTTGCAGCAGAGTTAAAATCTGCGACCCCATTTTAACTTCATACTTGTTCATATATTGGTAAAGTTTTGTGTTGAAAAATTCCTACGTGGTAGTTTTTTGTAAGTCTTGCAGTTAGGGTCAAGTAAAAGCAACAGTGCTAGACTAGCATACCAAAACGAACATCTTTTTCCTTTCTCCTTCTTTCTAACATTGTCTCATCAGATCTATGTACTGTTGGCAAACGCTAATCATAGTTTGTTACCTGACAGACACGTTAAAAGAATACTGTGCTCTTACATGAAAAAATGCAACATGGCAATGTTTCACAGAATTCTGAGGAGTGTCCATGCAAGTTTATCCAGCAACCCAAAGAAGCCCCAAAGCAATTAGAAAATGATACAGTTTAATTTACAGCTCCGTAGTACTTTTCACAGCTGAGTTCATTCGTTCACATAGAAGGAACCTGATTTTCACAATATATGGATAACAATGCCAGACGATTTATTTTTTACTGCATACTAAAGCCAAAATTTCCTCAATTAATGTACCATTATGAATTATCTATATTCCCTGTAGTCAGAGTCTCATGAACCATAAGCATATTAGACAAAATAATCACATTAGCTAAACTATGCCAAAATGATTCCACACAAAAGGAAAAGAATCAAAGAGGAAACATAGTACCTGCACTTGTTTTATAAGAGATCCTTCTGGATTCTGAAGATCACGCAGTAACTCCTCTTTCTTTGTGTTTAATTCTTTAACAACAGCTTTCTTTCTAGCAAGGTCCATCATAATCGGCATTTTACTTTCCATCTCCCAAAAGAGATGTTTATGAGCCTTTATTTTTTCCCGATATTCATTATTTCTTGCAAATGTCATCTCAAACTCTTCTTGTGCTGTTTCTGCATCATGCCTCAGCTTTAAAATTTCAGAATATAGGACTCCAACTTGGGCCTCCAGATTTTCACAGTGATATTTTGTCACTTCTACAGCCTCATCTTGCTGATATATCTCTCTTTCTGTTGTCTTAATTTCTAACATGGTAGAATCCATTTCTTTTTCTAGCTCCTGAAACTTTGCCTGAAAAATATTTATGTTCACATTTATTCGACAGGCTTCTTTTTCACTTGTTTAATGTGGCTTGGATGGAAGTTAATTAGAGATCCACTTCCTAAAATTATCACCTTAGAGGCACAATGCAAGGACACTGTCCTAGACTTTTCCCCTTAGACTGAGTCTAAAATATGAAAGTATCCTTGAAATTGCTTTAAACTCCTCCTATTTGCAAGATCTTTAGGCTGTGACAGACCAAATCCAATCTGAATGTTTGGTTAGAGCTGAAATCTGTTTAAGTCCTAACAGACTAAAACTAATGATGCCAAAAATCATTTACCTATCCACATAAACACATAGATGGGGTGATGGAGCTTAACTAGACTGTTCTACTTAAGTTTTTAATCCCATCTTCATCACAGCAGTCTTTGCGAGTAGGATTAATCCCAGATACTTGTAACTCCCTAAGAAACATATGAATATAGTCCAAAAAAAGGCCTCTACAAATGAGAAGTGAACACCTCCAGGAAGTAGTACGTCAATCCATCACAAGAAATCGTAGAATCATAAAATCATTTAGGTCGGAAAAGACCTTTAAGATCATTGAGTCCAACCATAAACCAAACACTGCCAAGCCCACCACTAAACCATGTTCTTAAGTGCCATATCTACACATAAATTTAAGATGGGAGGGCTGAACTGCTGCCTCAGGAATATTTGTCTCTCTTTGATGATTACCAAGGGAGTCTAAATGACTATTACAGGCTTAACGTCTGACTTGTAGGTGATGTGAACTACCTACGACAAATCCCACCTAAAGTAGCAGCCAACAGCAGTGCACTAAGTGAGAGAATTAGCAAGAGGTGATTTATGTCACCTATTATCTCTTTCCTAATGGGAGCGTTATGAGTGCTATGAAATATCTTACTCAATGTCTTGAACAGATTATGACATCAACTGTTAGGAAAAAAAGTTTCTGTGCAATTTTTAATTTGGAAATCTTGGACTACGGTTTTAGCAAGATTTATATCACTTTCAGCCACCATTTACAGGTGACAGTAAAGCAAGAATCATAGAATTATAGAACAGTTCCAGTTGGAAGAGACCTTCAAGATCATCGAGTCCAACCTTTGTCCTAGCCCTATCAACACCACTGAACCATGTCCCTCAGAGAAGAGATCTTAACAGCAAAGATCTTCGGTTTTGGAGAGGAAATTACTGTTTTGCATGTCTTCTGTGACATGCACACATGGGAGTAGGCGTAAGGATGAAAAAGCAGTTCTGCATTCTGCCTTTAAGTTCCTAATTATTTAACATTGCTGTTCTCCTAACATTAGTATTTGTATGGAATTTCTAAGGGCTTGGGATTTTTTGAAAGAAAAAGGGAAAGGTGTTGAAGAGGAAGAAAATAAATGAGCTAATTTAATTATCTAGAGCTCTAAATAGTATTACTATACAAAACCAGTATTTAACGACTACTTAGGACACTCACTTCAAACACACAAAAAAAGAGGTATTTTGTATGAAAACAGCTGCTACGAAAAAATTACAGTGTGGTAAAAATCTGCCAAAAAAGATACTTTGAAAATCCTTTTTCTCCATTAATTTCTCAGGAAATCACTAAGAAAAATTCAAAGAGCTCTAACTTTCTATCAAGTTTGTGTGGGTTTGCTTTGGTGGTTGGTTTTTTTTCTCTTGTTCATAGGAATATTTCCTCACCTGATGAAAAAAATTAAAAGAATTAAACTACTCCAGACCAGGCTTATTACCTGCAATTGGAAAAGAATTGTTTTGTTTTTTTCTATCTCTGATGCTTGTGATTGCTGCTGCTCTGCAACTTGTTTTACAACTTCAATTAGTGATGGAGAATTTTCCTTGGCCATTTTAAGCAAACGTGCATAACTGTAAGGACATAAAAAAGATGTGAATCAGTTTATCACCATTCTATTTAATTCCTAACTGCTAATGAAACAGAACAATAGTAAAAGATTTCCCATGGGATCCCAGATTACTACATTATTTCATTTGGTTCATTTTAATTAACAAGAACAGATTACTGAGGGGTGGATGCTTAAAGCAAATGATCACAAATTAGAACTCTTATTTTATTTATAAAGATAAAGCATTGCAATGTTCTTCTGGGTTCTCCACAGGCCAGATCCTCAGTTTGTGAATTTAGTCATAGCATCTTTAAAGCATCTTAGAAACATCTTAAATGCATGAGAGCATGCTGTCATATTTAGCCTGAGTACCTACATTATTGCAGTTACTAACCTGCAACTGCTTGATATATTAATTATTAAATTATCCTTAGTGTAAGATAAACAACACTGAGAAAGCCATCACACTGTAAGGCACAAACTAATGTCACTGTAAAGATCCTCCCACCAGTGATTAGAAACTATTTAGTACTATTTTTGTATAACTTTGGATACACCAAGCCAATGAAGAAAAACTATACTGTTATATAAAGTGACATCGCACTCTCAAGAAAATGCCACGAGTCTGGCACAAGTGCATCTTCAGGCCCGATATTTTAAAAACCATTCAGATGACCCACAAACCGTGCCTGAGGGCTAATAACTTTGACCACAAAACTGCACCAACCATTTTACATTTAAGGTCTGTTGCAACACTTGTCCTGACACCCCACACTTCTCCTCTCCATCCCACAGAATCACAGAATTGTCAGAGTTGGAAGTGACCTCCAGAGATCATCTAGTCCAACCCCACTGCTAAAGCAGGATCACCTAGAGCACGTTACATAAGATTGCATCTCGGCAGTTTTTCAATGTCTCCAGAGATGAGGACTCCACAGCCTCCCGGGGCAGCCTGTGCCAGTGCTCTGTCACCCTCACAGTAAAGAAGTTTTTCCTCATATTTAGATGAAACTTCCTGTGTTCCAGCTTGTGCCCATTGCCCCTTGTCCTGTCCTTGAGCACTGAAAAGAGTCCAGCTTCCTCTTCCCTGCACCCACCCTTTAGATATTTATAGACATTGATAAGGTCTCCTCTCAGCCTTCTCCAGCCTAAGGGCTCCCAGCTCTCTCAGTGTTTCCTCATAAGCGATGCAGTCCCCCAATTATCTTTGTTGCCCTCTGCTGGAGTCTCTCCAGTAGTTCCCTGTCTCCCTTTAACTGGGGAGCCCAGTTTTAAACTAGAGCAGGGTAATTTAGATTAGATGTTAGAAAAAAGTTCTTTGCAATGGGGGTAGTGAGACACTGGCCCAGATTGCCCAGAGAGGTTGTGGAGGCTCCAACCCTGGAGACGTTTAAGGCCAGGCTGGATGGGGCTCTGAGCAACCTGATCTAGTGTAAGATGTCCCTGCTCACTGCAGGGGGGCTGAACTAGATGACCTTTAGAGGTCCCTTCCAGCCCAGTGTGTTCTATGATTCTCTGTGGCTTCTTCACCAGGACAGAACAGAGAGGGAGTGTGCCCTCCCTTGACCTACCGGCCACACTCTTACTGTACCCCAGGATCCCATGGCCCTCCTGGCCACAAGGACACACTGCTGGCTCCTGGTTAACTTATTGTCTACCAGGACTTCACGATCCTTCTCCTCAGGGCTGCTTTCCAGCAG